GGAGTTTGAGAAATTCCAGAGCGTTTGCGCCAAATAAAAACAAGTGTGCAGCATGTGGGTGGCATACGTGCCGTCCGTGATGTTAAAACAAAGGTGGCTAGTTGTAGGGCCTCGCACGCTGACAAAAAGCTTATAGATCATATGCACACCATAAATACCTTTTTTATTTTAAACTGCTCAGTGATCTATCAATGCATGTACCGCCTTATTTGGTCATACATTTATTTAGTTCACGTCCCAATTAGATCCGTTCCACTCAAGTGTGGCTGCTCAATATCAAAGTAGAAACAGCTCACTGTTGGTCACTTATGCTAAAGTACAGGCACACGCACCAATTCACGCCCATTCCCACTCCGCTAGACGTGTCATCGAGAGTCGGCGCTGCACTGGCAGCCAGCCCAGCTGCGACTCGCGCACGCTGCTTGTTTGTTTTTGTTTTGTTGGGTTAGGCCCTTTCGGTCTGACAAGACCATTTCAGAGCCGGACGAATGATAGGAATTAGGGGGAGACATTGGTCTGGGCAGGCACCCTACAGAGTCGCCGGGACTGAGCCCGTCCGAATGGACGGACCGACCAGCCCCCAAGCACTCTCTGCACCCGGCTACGGGGTGCATTCTCTCGGGAGTAGCGGTGCCACTCCAAGGGAGCAGCCCTCATGAGATAAAGTTGCCTGTCCAGCCCGGAGTGGGGGGTTTCGGCGTGGAGGAGAAGTATTTCAAGTATCCTGATTCCTGAGGATGGAAACGACGGAACGGAGGAGCACGTTGCTCCGAACCTCCCCTTTACATAGCCGCAAGAGTAGCATTTTTTCGGTAAAACAATTAAGGATCTGTAAGCTTTTTGTCAGCGTGCGAGGCCCTACAACTAGCCACCTTTGTTTTAACATCACGGACGGCACGTATGCCACCCACATGCTGCACACTTGTTTTTATTTGGCGCAAACGCTCTGTAATTTCTCAAACTCCCTGACCGGTCAGTGAGTTTGCAAACTCCCTAGTGAATTTGTAAACTCCCTAGTGAGTTTGCAAACTCACTGATCGGTCAGGGAGTTTGCAAACTCACGGATTTCTCAAACTCCCTGTAACATATATATATATATATATATATATATATATATATATATATATATATATATATATATATATATATATATATATATATATATATATATATATATATAGAAATTAAAGCAACTTTACGTTTCACCATGTGTATTCATGGCTTCATCAGAAAATACAGGCCTCTCCGCTGCGCCGAATAATACGACATATAAACATAAAAATTACCAGAAGATAAAAAAGTACGTGCTCTAATTCCAGTCCACTTCCTACCTAAATAAAATCTCTAGCCGAAGCACTGAAAATGATTAAACTAACATTTTACATACAGCAACATACTTAAGATTTAGGCATATGCACTCGAGTTGTGCGGCACAGCCTACCACCCAGGTGACTGCACAGTATACTCGTACATCGATACACTGATTTGGGCCACAGTTACGAGTCCGCACTCCGGGGGGGGGGGGGGGACATGTGCACCCCATCTAGCCGAATCTTTTGTTAAGACCGGCCGTTCCATCATACGTGCCTAGAAGATGCATCCATCTCTTCTCTCTTACACGCCTGTAGTCCACGTTCTGCATCCACACTCTTTCCAGTCCCACCACGCGTAAATCGTCCACACTGTGGTCCGGAGTGCAGAAGTGGTGCCTCACCGGAAGCGCCACGGTCGGGTTGCTCACCCGTACGGATGATAGGTGGTTCTGTATACGGCCGTACAGATTTCCACCTGTCTCTCCCACGTAGCACACGCACTCACATACATTACACCATATTCCGTAAATAACATTTACACTTTTACACCCTATGTACGTCCGTGTGTCATGCCTTAAGTGTCTTATTGCGCCTGAATGGCGCCGCGTAGAGACGTGAAATTTGGCATGCCAAATCTGTGGGCGTGGGGGGCCTTGGTATTAAAATTTGGGCGTAATCTGGCCAGGGGTGCGCCGTCGGCACGTGCAAAAGGGTGCTGTGTGCTGTCATAGGGTTAACCCGCGCCCCACTGGGGTCTGCGTATAACACGCCCTACTGGGGGGGGGGGGCTATTCATAGCCCCCCCCCCCTCCTAACTCCGAAACTACTGGGCCGATCGTCAAAATTCAAACGGCGTCTGATAGCCCCGGAAAAACTGTCGAACAAAACCTAATTCCATTGACCTCGAGGTCACCGATGACGTCACAGGTCAGGTCAAAGTAAAAATTATTAGCATTTTGGCTTGTTCACGTTTTGGGCTCTGGCCGCCGTCTTACAAGTCAGATCAGGCTCATTTTTGGATCACACACTCGGGAACAGATGCTCTAGTTACCCTGAGGGTACAAACTTGTACTTTGATTTTCAGGTCAAGGTCAGGTCATCACAGGTCACGAAAATATTATATCATGCGTCGGTCACGTGACACATGTTTTATGGTCCATTTAGGTCAGAGATTTCGAATTTGATGGTCCATTTAGGTCAGAGATTTCGAATTTGATGTCGTCTGTGTCATTCGAGGTCATTTTGAGTCGAATTTAGCTTAGGTCAGGTCACTTTCAGGTCAAAAAAGGTCAAATTTTGAAGTTGAAATTTGTCAACAAGAAAGGTGTCTATTGGATGCAGTTTGAGCTCAGGAACACGATGGTGCTATTTATATTGGCGTACGATGTCAAATACGTGCTGAAAAACTGATTTGAAAAATTAATAATTGTGAATTTTTTGCAATAATGCGTAACAGTTTGGCCATTTTTGAAGATATTTAGCTAAAACTTGCTAGAGTTAGTCATAATAATGCGTTCTATCACATATATTCCGGTTTTTTTCGAAAAGTCAAAAACTTTTTGAAAAAATGTAAAAATATAAAATTTGGATTTTATTATATTAAATTTTCCAAATTTTCAGAATTTCGAAAATCCGAGATAGCACTTTGATAGCGCAATCTATTCTGAGTCCTCTCATGCAAAGAAATTGGATCTAGCTTAAAAACTGAGCTTTTGGGAGCGATTGCGGTGTTCAATGTTTTGCGTCGAAATCGGCCGAACATGACGTCACTCTGACGTCATTTCCGGCCGACCTATAGTAGTTACGAAGTTCAAATTTTGACACAAGGTGTCAAATTGATGCAGCCTAAGGTACTGAAAGTTTGGCGTCGATACGTCAAGCGGTTTGGAAGTTATTGCAGAAAAACGGGAGGGGGTAGGGCTATAAATAGCCCCCCCCCCCAGTGGGGCGCGGGTTAACACGAGGCCGGCGAAAATCGCGATCGGGCGAAAATCGGGCCTGCAGCGCTCCTTTCCCTAGCTTCTAACTCGGCGATGGGTGGTCGCAGCGAGATGGGGTTGCCACCAATGGATAGAGGAGAGATGGAACTAGCGGGGGCATTCCACGATAGATCGACCAAAAAAAGATTAAATTTACACCCTCATGCTTTATTTTTTTGCTTAAAATTGGTCTAAAGGGTTGTGATGGGCGGGGAACCCAGCCGTGGCAAGGATTTTTTTCTTCGAGCAACGGTTTCCGAGATATAGCCTCCGGCAATTCCTGGAGGTCACGCTGCAACCCTATGTTTGGCGGCTTATAACTCAGAAACTATTGGTTTTCTATGATAAAAACTTTATATGTTTCAACTCGCAATCAACCAACGAACATTTTGGCTATCTCGGATTTTCAATTTTTGAAAATTTTGATCACGTGACCTGTTGACCTATTTTTCGAAGAGTGACCTTGATATTTTCCCAACTGAAAGTTACAATTTTGTCTGATGACGAGTAAAACGTTATCAATTTTCATTCATATGCGATAATAAAAAAGTGGCTTTCGCCCTGCGCTGACCTCAGGTCAGGTCATATTTATGACCTGCCCATTATTACGAGCAGGAGCGACAGCGAGATCTCGAGAACAAAGCAAGATAGCGACAAGCGGTAAACGGCACAGGGTACACACGGATAAGTTCTACAATTTTTATTCAGGTCACGTGCAATACGTGAAAAATCACGTGAAAATGACTCAAGCATACGACCGTGTTTTGTTAACGTTACAGGTATTTTTCGACAAAATCCGATCGATGGCTTATGGCCGTCAGGTCATTCCACTTTTCACAATAGCTATCAAAGCATGGGCTGCAATGCACCGCCCGCAAACGGGAATTCCAAACACTGAAAATAAGCGACTACCAGTAAACAGCACATTATTGTACATACTAGGAATAACTCACCTACTACTGGGCCGATTGCGCTGAAACTTGGACTGTGGGTGGAGGGGGCACTTACCTAGCGATCTATGGTCATTTGTGACAGGTAGGGTGGATCGATTGCACGTGCGCACGTGAGGGGTCCACTTATACATCTCAAGAACGGCTGGGCCGATTTCGCTCAAATTTTGTTCACTGTTGGGGACAATTTAGAAAGGTGGCTGGCACAAGTCATATGGAGTCTCAGCGCGTGCGCAAGTGCAGTGGACCAGTTTTATATCTTAAGAATGGCCGGGCCGATTGCGCTCAAATTTGGTACGTTACTTTAATCGAGTATAAGATGGGTAACTATGTGTAGGTTATTAGTAAGGTAGGGTAGGGAAGGGTGGGTTTGAGTTCGATAAAGGCAAACCATGAGAAAGGCTCTAACAACCCGCAACCAGCACCAGCATACCATGCCGTTCAAACAAATATCCAACTAAGACAAAATAAGACAAATAAAAATCACAAGTTCTCACACCCAAACTAATGCCCCCTCAAACGCATCTATCAAAACGTACAGTTATCGCGCCAACATGGCCATCTAGCACGTTTTAGTTTGCAACTGAAAAAATCGTAGCCCAGGCAAAAACATCATACAATACATAAAAAAGTTATGACATCTAAGGTCATTAGAGCAAAAGCGACAGTATGGCAACCATATAAAGACACTGAAAATAATCGGCGCCGAGAATGGCATAGGGGCAGCTGAGCGCCTGAGCGGTGCCTGCCTGACCCACCTGAGCCGGTCAGAGTCTGAGAGCGCGGCCAGCAGCACGGCGGCCACGGCCGGCAGCCGGCCGACGGCGTGCGCGCGCAGTCCGGCCACCAGCTCGGCCAGGCAGAGCAGCACCGAGGCCAGCAGCGGCGCCGGCAGCTGGCCGCCGGCCGCCAGCGAGCACACGGCGCCGAGCACCTGCGGCACACGGAGCTCCCGTCAGACCCGCCACCGTCCGAGCTGACACACAAGCACCCGGTCACCGCTTCCAGAGAACACAAATCTACAGGATGTCTCAAAAGTTCGTTGACACATTTTCAATGCCAATAAAGCATAGAAGAACAAGCCAAAAATATAAGGTTTTGATGCTTATGTGTACACTAGACAAATGCACGTGCTTTGACAACGAATTCGGAATGTTTGAAACCAAACCCTTTGCTGTAGCTCCAAAAATATTTTCCGATACCGATTTTCGTCGCTCCGTCAGCTGCCAGAGGCTGATAAAAGGTGGCCTGCTTTCAAGCTCTTGCAGGGAAATCCCTTGCAGTTTCTGCGTCGGATTTAGGTTTAACGAGCCCCACGGCCACATTTGCTTCTCCCTGAAAGCCGACAGCTTGCATCGACACCATTCATGAGTGTTTTTTAGGTATTCTCTGACTGACGCCAATTCCTTCACGAAGGCTGGCGCCAACATCCAAAGCACCATTTCCCTTTTCAAAACGACCCCATTCCTGAACAAACCGGAATTGCCAGGGGTAATTTTTTTTTTTTGCATAATATCGTAGCAGAATGTGTTGGCCATCTGTTTCTGAGACACACCGTTCAAATTTTGCAAATTCCAAACACTCAACAAGTCAACATTCCCCATGCCAAAACATTCGCTGGGTTGCGGAGTGTTTTCCTCAAGAGAGCTTTTGCTTTGTAAACGGCCCAAGCCTGTCTACCATGTGGTTTTGTCGGGTTTTCGTGTCTGAAAGAAAGCTATTCGCTCCAGATCTGCCTCATGAAACTTCCTAGGATCAAACTTTACATTTATTTACCTTTTTTGGGGGCCAAGTGTCTTTGAAATTAACGATTTTCGTGTTATTTTCTCAAAAATTTTGGCATTTTAGATATTATGAAGAATTTTAAACGACGCTTTGTCTTTATTTTACGATGACCTGCTATTTTTGATACTGGGTAGCTTTTACTTGTGAGCTCCTTGCCAGTTCTCAATAACTATAACCGCATTTTCAGCTGCTTTTTGGCACACGAGCCTAGCTGACGTACGGGGGTCGATCAAAACGCTGTTAGTCTCGGATGGTTTCGCCCCTCAAAAAATTTTGCCATGATTTTTTAAATGATCATCATGTGGTACCCATACTGGCCGACATTTTGCCATGTGTCCGCTCTGACTTAAAGGGACACTCCCACCTTAACATTAGTTTTGAGTTGAGATAGCCAAATTGGTGGCCATGGCCTGCAAATACCGGTTTGGGCACTCACAACATCGAAAAATGCTTTAATTCGAAGATATGGAATTTCAAACTTGCAGTTTTCGGATTCTAAGGGGCTAATGCATTGGAATGCCCCCTTAGAATTTGTGACGTCAGCGGAGATCTAACGATTTTTAAATCTTAGACTAAAACCATCGTTAACACGTGGTGGTATACGCTGCTTTGCGCGCAACGTCTGCCGCATTTTAAGGCTGCCAAATTATTGCTTCCAAATAAAGTCGCTAGTAACAAGGGAGATCCCAAAAAGTAAACAAAAGTAAAAGCCTAATATCTTGAAAACCAGTGAATATTTTTCGGTGAAATTTGGTAGATATTCGTTTTCGCTCTTTCTGAACCAAGGGACATCACTTTCATGCCAATCCATTAACTTTTTTGAAGGTGGAAGGGTCCCTTTAAACATTCCCATTACTCCTGAAACAGAGCGTTTCACAACAGACCCGATTTTGCGACATCCATTTTTATGCCTGACCCATGGTCAGAGGTGAACCCTTTTTGTGAGCTCATGAAGGGTCGAATGCATTTGAAAACAATGACACTGCTTAAGGACGGTCTTTAGCAATGCCCATGCAAAATTTCGACATTGAACTTCTTGTTGATTCGGAATTATTGACGAAAAAGCATGGCTGGTACCTGTCAACGAACTTTTGAGACACCCTGTATTACAAAGGCATGAGACATTCTGCCTAAAAACAAAGATAAACAAAATCTATTGAGTGAAAAAAGCAGGGGCAGTTATCAAACGAGTTATCACAAAATACAAAGGAGATACAGCTACTGACATTTACAAAGCTGTGCTATAACAGGCTAAAGCCAAAGAGGTGGTCACTATGCTCGGTTTTTTTAAGCCTGTCGGATCGCTTTAGTGCATAAATAAATACACAAGAGAAGCAACACGAAGTGGAAAAATATAAACCAAGAGTAAGATGATATTTTCAGCGCATGATACTGATAAGTGATGTCAATTTCAGAAATTTTGGAAACCGATACTAAACCGATACCGACCAAAACCATTGAGAGTATTCCGAAAGCAAACCGATTTTCAAAAATAGGGGAAAATAACGAATATACATATGCTTACCGAATTCAGGGAATTATTACCAGTAAAACACCTTTTGGGCGCCCCCTGCACGTCCAGGCGGCTGCTGAGATATGAGCCTCTGAAAATCACTACTTTTGCAAAGCAGCTTGAACACCCTTGACTTTTCACGTGGCACGTGCCACGTGAAAAGTCAAGGGTGTTCAAGCAGTTTTGCAAAAGTAATGATTTTGAGAGGCCCATATCTCAGCAGTGGCTTGGGCGATTGTCTTGCGGTTATTTTTATAGGGTAGCTGCATCCCTTCTACCAAAGGTCGGATACTCTTGATCTATGTCAGTGAACCCCACTGCACGTGCAAAATACAAAAAGAAGAGGTGCCAAATTTGTTCCCATTTCAGTAACTCGGTAATTACTGGGGCGATTTCGCTGAAACTTGGCATACAGGTAGGCACCCACCAGGCAATGCATTCCCATGTGTTGCAGTTAGGGTGCTACTGCACGTGCGCACGTGCAGGGGGCGTTTCCAGATCTCGAGAACGGCTGGGCCGATTGCGCTCAAATTTGGTACACGGTTAGAGACCGGTTAGTAGGGTGCCGTGCAAAAGTCATTCTGGACCCCGTTTGCACGTGCGCACGTGCAAAATGCCGCTTCCAGGTCTCAGGAACGGCTGGGCCGATCGCGTTCAAATTTGGCACACCGCTAGCGACCGGTTAGAAGGGTGCTTTGCACAAGCCCGTTGGAAGTACCCTCTCGCCCTTCCGCACGTGCAGGGCTCACTATCTCGCTCGCTCGTTCTTCGCCCAAAAGGTGTTTTACTGGTGAAATAAACACTTCAAATTTTCTCAAAACGCATGTTAAGCATGGAAAGGTAGTTCTTTAACCCTCTCCCGCACATGCCATTTTCCCATCCTAGAACGAACATGGGGGGGGGGGGGGTGCCACCCCCGGGCCATTTTGTTCCTGTTGGAGATAGAGCTTGGCGGTAAAGACCAAAAAGATTCTTTGGGAAGAGACGAATCCAATGATACCCAGCTTTACCTTCTAAGGTCAGTCATTGACCTTCTATGTCAGGTCAAACTAAAAATGTTGCTGTTTTGGGTCACCGTTGGATATCAAGTGAGCTGCTTATCATATACCGATGACGATGCCGTTTTCTGGTGCCAAGCCAGCTAGAACCTCTTTGTCACACTACCCGACCAGGTTTTTGCTGCTGAGATCATTTCATGTCAAGTTGGGTCTAGGTCAATGATATGTGGTTGTATGTCTGTGTGTATACTGATGTGTACACCGATTGTCTATGTGTCCATATTACATGCAATCATGAAATGAGAAGCTTTTACCAAAAATTCAGTCAAAAACTTCACGACAAGTAAATTCAGCTTGCCTAAAACGCAATTATTTTAGACGACCTAGGTTGACCTTGACTGACCTTGACATCTGTGCATCGTCGAACAACATTTTCCATAATAGGTGGGAGGTAAGACTGGCAAAAAAGGCCGAAATCAAGGTGTCAAAAGCTCACAAGGCCCATAGCCAACACAAGATGTTGAGAATTGGTCATTTGGGTCATGACATGACCTGAAAACAAGGTCATATCTCCGAAACCAAAAACCACAAATACTTGAAATTTTCAGTGGACATCAAGAAAGGATAGAGGAGCAGCTCTATAAAAAATCAGGCTTCTAGCTCTAAAAATGTTGAGTGCAGAGCAAAAAGACTACCTGGGGGGTGGCAACCCCCCATGTGCGGGCGAGGAGTGTTAAAATAAGGCGACAAAAACAAAACCAGGGATTCTCTAATTATTTGCATGGGCGTCGAAACCGGGGGGGGGGGACGGGGGGGACGCGTCCCCCCCAGTCGAGGAATCCGGGGGGACGTCCCCCGCAAAAATATCCTCATGAATGATTAAAAAAGTGATCAACGAAATTGGTGTATTGTCGTTTTGGGATGAAATTGCGGATACCTACTCGTATACAAATTGAATCATGCGAATTGCTGACACTGCACTTGCTTGCAGGGCTGCGGAGTAGATTGATTTTGGTAGCTCTGACTCCGGCTTTTAAAAAATCGCTCGGAGTCCCCACCCCATCTCCGATCACGGCATCCCTCGGCCCGCATCGGAGTGAAAAACATGTGATGTGATGCTTTTGTCTCTTTGAACATTTCTTGGCACGTTAAAAGATAACATTACCTACGAGGTGTAGCTCTGGACTGTCCGTCCCAGGTCCTCGATAGGGAGCCAAAGCTCCAGTTGTAGGGGCGACCATATTCAACAAGGGCTGAAGATCTGTCCCAAAGTCTCAAGCTTGCAAAGACCACACATTTTATGTAGGATATTCGTAATAGTCAAGACCTTCAGCTCACTCTCAAACGGCCCTCTTCCCGTTCAAGGCCATCCGACAGCAGAAGGTCTCACCATGTCCTTTGAACGCTTGATGCTTGAGGGTGAGAGGACCTCGTCCTGGTCTGAGAGAGCCCAGGAGGATGTTATACTCAGTATGGTCCTACATTGGTCTTACCATGACCCGGCCTTCAATCACCACAGCCAACAGAATCTCCAGCTTTTATCCGACCCATCCTCGGGGATGACGTTGACTCTGACTTCAGAGTTGAAGTCTGGTACGACTTTGGTGACTCCAACTCCGTATCCGACCAAAACCGTCG